TCCAGACTGGTTGTCTTTATGAATAATTGAATATTTTGAACACTTTGGAATTTCACAAATTTCAATGGAATAGGATTGCCTTCCAGGTCACTTGGAGTTACTCTGAAATAAAATATTATTGTTATTATGTCCAGATGGTTGCAATACTGAGGTTAAGTTACAGACTTCAGGAATGAATACATACTAGTGATAGTAAACAAACTAACCCACTAATTTAAATACTTACTCCAATTCTTGAATAGATGCATTACCAGGAAGCCTGATCAAAACAAGTGTTCTTGGCTGGTTGATGAACAGTTTTACACATTTGGGCCCCTTATCTGCGGGTCCCTTGATTTTTACTGAATGCAATTTCACCAACTGAAATTATTATGTATTATATTTAAATTCAGACACATATTTTGTACAAAGTAATAATGTGTGTATTAAGTTTAATATTCTCTATAGACAATATATTTTTATTACATTATAGTAAATTCTATTTACCTGGTTGAAGGCTATGTTGATGATGAGTTGTTCATCACAATCACTAGCTAAGTATCCACCGCCGCTGGTAAGGCAATGTGCCAGAGGATGATCATCAGCCTCATTTAAGCACTCACATTCACTCTTTGTGATGAATGTGGCCAGATCCATCTGTAACCAACAGTTATACATTAATGAAATATTTAAAAAACATATATTCTAAGAAAAATAATCAATAAATTTAATCAATTTCATATAAAAAGTTTCTATCTCTTATATCAGAGAATTGTTAATTTATGTAAGTAAATATTTTAATTATTTATAGTATTAATTTAACATGTAAACTTCTCACATTTTTTAAATATATCTAAGTATATATAAGTAGTATGTAATTAACAGATTAAATAAAATATATACTAACATGGCCTGCAACAGAATTGTCTTCATCGTTGGACTCCTCTGTGCCATAGTATTGTCTGACCTTATTCTCTAAGGTAGCAGGATCAGCACCTTGTAGGCGATCAATCCGCGTCTAGAATAAGTAACAATATAATAACACCAAGACAATTCACTGTTGTCTAATCGCAAGCTAAGCATAGCCTGTATTATGTCTAGATAAATTATATAAATACATAGATATTCAAACATACATACAAAAAATCATAATCTTTCTATCATTCTAAGTAATACAACCCACAACTAGACCAACATTTTAAAATACATAATAGGAATAATTATATATTTTAAAAAGTTATAATTTGACCCGATTGCTTTGTCTGTATTTTAGTTGTAGGGTAATAATTACATTCTCAGCATTTTTTATAATTTACAATTATAAAAAATGCTGAGGAGTGGTATATCCATGGATATCAGATTATAACTGCAATGCGTCATTAAAATTACTGTTCGTCTCTATATATTTGGTGATTGCCACTTATCATGAGGTTGACCATCAGCTTCTTTTCCATTCCTCATTTACATACAAATAATGTATATAATCATAACTAATGAATTTATATTTTACCATTCTTAACCATGAAAGTATATGCAAATAAATAAGTCTTTAAATTATAAACAATGAAACATTACATTTCAGTGTTATTATAAGTTACCTTTGTCTCAAAGCTTTGGACAAATAAAATAGTATAAAATTATCTTCGCTGTGAGAGGGGGGCTCAATTGACAATATGTTTATAGTTCAGGTGACATTCACATGATCCCATAGGAAATAATTGTGGTAATTTCAATATGATGGGCCTTGCCTTCTTTCTCATAATTTTTCGCTGATAAATAGCAGTATCGCGTTAGCGCAGGTGGGAGCAGCCTTTATATCATACACAGAAAAAATAAGTAGTCACTTACTCTGTTTCTGTAGAAAACAAATGTTGGTGTTGCCGAGATACCCTGGGCGCTGGCAGTTTCAGTACATCTATTTACGTCCACTTTTAAGAACAAAGCCCTCGGAAACTTATTTGGTAGTTGTTCAAAGAACGGAGCGATTCGTTGGCACGGTGGACACCTTTAAAAGTAAATAAGAATTTTATACTAACAAAAAATGTAGGACGATGACTTGGGATTTTGAATGGGAAAAGGTTAACTTACCAACTGGCAGTGTAGTCTACAACGACTAATTTGGTGCCGGCATTTGTCATTTCCGACTGGAAATGAGCTTCATTTTCAATAACTGTAGCTAAAACCATTTTATTTACTATATTCTATTAAAATTAAAAGTTAATACTTCAGTATCAGATTAGGTACGAAAGATGACAAGTCAAAATGGTAGACTGCCTTGACACTTTGTTGAATATGTCAAACTAGCTGACAGCCGCGAAGTTAGTGTTGCTAGAATGAAATTACTTCGGCATTGTAATCAATGCGTTCTTCTAAGGTTTTATACGCAAGCCAATCAATTATCATTAGAAGTAGCATGAAAATGTATGAATTACTTAACAATTGCAGTACAAAAGCGTACAATCTACAAGTGACAAAAGTTTCTTGCATTATCTATCTTAATTTCGATAGGTAACATTTGGCAAGTGTAATTGCAAAAGTGTCATAGTTTTACATATAAAACAAACTAAAAATGTATAGAAAAATATAATTCCCAAGTATGGCACTAATATTAAAATTAACAGTCTCACAACTCAGTTGGAGGAGACGTTGTTACCAGAGCAGATGCCAAGGCAAAGAGGTTACCCCGAAACCCCAACCTTCTCTCTGGGTGTGGATGAAATGAACTCTGTGACGCACGTCATTTTAGTAAAACGGTCGTTTAAAATTCTTATTTTAAACTAGCTGTACCTGCAACTTCGTCCGCGTGGAAATTACAAATTACGCTGACTTGAAAACACTAGTTCCTAATACCATAAAAATGAAATATATTATTTATTTTCGCTTTCTAAAAAAGAAACTGTTTTATTATATATTTTTTAATATCTTATCTTAGCAGTAAAATTAGATTGCTAGATTTATTTCAAAGCTTACTTAATAATAATTTATAGCGGTCGACAAGATATTACAGTATACAGTGATGGGAGCGCGGCAAACCGCCTGTGGCGAGGTTTATCCTCGCAATAATTTACTGGAAGCTTTCCAAATCACTGCGATCCATTTTAATAAACTCGGATCAGAGTGTATCAAATAACATAGTAGGTATTTCATTTGTGTGTATAGAATACAATATACTTTCTGAGAAACTAAGAACTAGTTTCTCAGCCCGACCTGTGCCATCTACCGTAAGATCAAATTTCGTTAAGATATATTCAGTCGTTTCATCGTTGAAATACAAAAATTATCGGACAGATAAACATGATAGAAAGACCTTATAACAATTTGTAAAATATTTTCTTTATACTACGATGGTGGCAAATAAGCATATATTTATGTACCTACTCATAACTCAGATATTGAATACATACGATATATATTCAATAATCACCTACCTACAGGGGATGCAAAAATTAGGAATTTGTTCTGTATAAAGGTAACAACATGGATAAGTATGTATTATATGTACATCTAACAAATTAGACCAAACGAATTGAAAAATACTGGTCCCTATAACCCCTTTCTGTATTAATATTTAATTCGACAAAAAACGCCTGTTAGAAATAACACGCAAATTCTTTTTACTGTAATTTGTCGCGAACGTTCGAAGCAAATACATATATAATTCTCTCTACCACTCTCCATTCGATCAGCTCAAACACATGCATCATTTAATAATAGACTAAGATCTCATTATCTCTCTTCATAGTACATTTTTTTTATTTTATTTTTTTTTCTTATTTCTTCCAATATGTAGTATATATGTATGTATATATGTAGGTTTATATATTTATCCCTAATGTAAGTATGTATATCCAGTAGTATAATAAATAGTGTCTTATGTGTGTCACCTACCCTATTCTATGTACATAAGTCCTCTCTTCTAGGTTGTCAGTAAGAGATTGCATTTAGCGATAAGACCGCCTTTTGTTATTATTTTACTATTTACTGTATTTTCTCATTATTTTATGTGTACACAATAAAGAGTTTTATTATTATTATTATAATTCCGCAAAAACTAGATCTTAACAAACTATTACATCCTAAAACACAATAACTTAACAGTAAAATATTCTATTATATATTTACAATCACTGTAACACAGACCGTTATAAATGTAAACAAGTAAATTAATTTGGCATATCTACCTAAAGTATAGTTAAGAGTAGTTAAAAATATCTATGTAATTTTCATGTCACGCTTAGTGTTATTTCATTACTATTATAACGCTAATAATTAATATTTATGTTATGAACATAGAACAAAATTGTTATAGTAGCGGTTTAATAGTCTAATCAATAATTTATAGACCTAAAATTTTTAACTTAACTATAGGAATGGCACAGCAAAAACTTCATCGACTAACTCTTCAATTACGAAAAATATTATATAAAAATAAATAATATTAATTTGATTATTTTCAGTTAACTGTTTAGCTACCTATATGTAGATTAAAATTAAGGAAAAAATCAAAACAATATTTTAAAGGACAGGTGGATTTCTATCACACCTTTGCGAATATAAATTGTTTGTTATGAGAAATACCAATTATTAATTTCCATTATCTAGCTTAGCCAACTAATTTAATTTCATGCAACTGTGTTATTCGTCATTATAAATAAACATTTCAGTTTCTTATCATGAATGATTGTTTGAATTATCGACAAAAATTACATTCAGATAGTTAGGTATGTAGTGATTTTTAATTCTGTTATTTATTCATGTTCTTCATTATCTGTTCATTTATTTATAATATCAATTTAATTTTGTGTACCTTCCTACGACAAATCTTGGTACATTTTTCACTGTAATCCGACCGACCGATAAAACCGAGATCGTCGCAAGGGAAATCTACAGTATTCATTTGAATTCGGACACCATCAAGTGTCTGTTCTAAGTAGGAAGGATAACGGATATAATTTTCAGTTTGAATGATATATATAAGTACATATAGATTTAAAATAGCACAAAGTGCTTGTTGAATTATTATGTGTTCGTATTTGACTTTAATATTTTTAAGTATATTCATTAATGTAATCGTATTTTGTCAACATTTCAATGAAATAAAGTCATTAAATGAAAAACACGTAAACAATAAACATATAAAGATAAATGGCGATATCTCTTCCAAACGGGACTTGGTTAAATATTTACGATCATTAAGACACATTATTTATTTTGCATATGACTTCAAATATGACGTCGATATGAATTTTGAATTCGGATTATTTCTAGTGAATGGTAAGATTTTTTAATTATGCATGTCTTAATGGCCTGTTACCAATTATCAGCCAGTATTTTTAAAATTGTTATTCGTTCAGATATATCATAATGATTTCTTTGCAGTGAATTTGAAAAATATTCTCGAAGAAAAGCGAAATGAATTGCCACTTTCTGTAATAAAATATTTAGAATTAATATTGAAGAAAAACGACGAAGTGATTGATTTTTTTAGGGAGATGGTTAATCGTGATCAAAATCCTGAGGACCGGAGAAATAAAATATGTGAGTATCTGGTACAATTCCTCCCAATTCCTGTACTGTTTTGGGTATGGTATTATATTGAATATAATATGGAATGAGAAAACTATACTCCAGAGCTTCGGTTTGGGCATATCGAAGCCATGTAGGATTTAAATACTACGTAGTTCACGTTGCATAATAATAATAACACAGTCGTATGCTAACAAGCATAGGCCTCGGCACATATAGGTATGCTACAGATATGCTGTTTGTTTTTATGGTTACTGAATTGTTCACCCACCTGTGCATCTATCATTGACCAGCCAGCTGTATGCTGGCTGGTCAGGTAAGCAAGGATTCAGCGAGGAATTAACGATGATTATCTGGAGGCACCGTAATGAGGTGACTAATAATCCTCTCCCCCTGACATATTATTAGTTATACGAGGGATGAAAGCGGACGAAGCTTGAAAATGTCTATAATCATAACCAATTTATCAATGCAGAGCCGAAACAGTTGTGTTTAGAAGCATGAAAAAGATAAAGCCGTGGTAAACATATTACCATTATGGGTTAAATAAAGAGTTATATTTATTTAACCCATAATGGTATAAGGGACATGCCGTTAAGATAAGTGTAATATGTTATCCTAAAATATATATAATATTAAAGTACAATAAAATAAAAACGTATGTATATTTCGAAAATAGTGCTTTACTTGAAGACAACAATTTTGAATATTGAATTAATTTAAATTTTAGTAACGTCTCTATTTTTAAACGAATCTCAGTGGATATCAGAATTACGTGGCTTTGATATAAGAATTTTGAAACAAATAAGGTTAAAATCTGATCATGAACTTGAGGAATTGTATTCAACGCGAGATAATTACGAGAACAAAGTTGATGATCTGGATAATGGGACACCAAATCCAAAGTTATCAGGTAATTAAAATTTGTACATTATATTTTATTAGATGTTATAAATAATTACAGATCTTATTCATTATCTCTACACAATATTAGATCCTTGTTTACCTTCAGATAAAAAAATCTACACAACGTAACAATTCTTTATATAAACATATTATTATGACTATGTCTGTTAGACTAAAGGGTTAGATAGACATATTTCTTTGACTTTTGGCGTTTACAGTTTACATGGTGAATATTTATATATCATTTGCTCACAATGCGGCTATCTATAATTAAAAAAAAATAATAAGCAGAGATCTCCCTCTCCCTCAGCTCTAAGTTTGCAATCAATATATCCATCATTAAGTAATAATTTAAAAAAGCATTAACAATATACCTTTTTTTAAATTATTACTTAATGATGTCATATACTTAATGATTCATCACATATTTAAAAACAAATATAATTTTCGGGCCGAAAGGAATTCATGACATTATATTTAGCATGCGATTTTAATGATCTCTTTAAATTGTAGTATTATTCTGTAAATTGTAGATATTATAATGATACAGCAGAACAGTATCTAAAGATGCCTGTATTTTTTTAGACGCATGCCTGGTATCACTTGCTTCAAATACAATTAGTTATTCTAAATATACGCCAAAATGTGAGATTCCTAATGTGTGTCGAGATATGGTGGTTAATGGAACAGATTTTGGATACGCTTTGCTCCATAGGTAAGTATGTAATGTTTTTATTTTAATACCAAGAAATGTCAAGATGATTGGACAGAGTGGAAGTGTGGGGATATTTTGCTGTAAGCAGTTTGCTTTGCGATCAGTGTTCCCATGCGAAGGGTAGGTAGGTACTAAGGCATAACACATTAGACTAGAGTTGAGACACAATGGTATAGTACCATACAGGTACATGGACTTCAGAACGTTTTCTAAGACCGGGATGCCATTCGTGTATATACGGGCATCGATTTTCTCTTTTCGTCTTGTAGACTATCTGCTCATGACGTTCTGCATTTTATTTTTAGATTATTTAGTCTAGATAAGTTATATCATATTGATCAATTATTATAATCATATGTTTTTTTTTATTTATATGAAATGAAACGATTACATAACTTACCTATGAAATTATTTCTACCTATATATATGTATTACCAGAATATGTATATGAATATGTCCCTTTATTTTATTTCCAAAATAATGTGGGTATCGTAAATTAATGACAATCGTTCGAACATACCATTAATATTGAATAGAAAAGTAGTCTATTTAATATTAATGGTAACCGAATTATTTATTAATGTGTTTCTGGTTGATTTAGATGTGATTTTCAGGTTACTTTTATTATTGCATGCCAAATTTGCAAGAAGATGTTACATATTAAATCCAGTTGAAGATAGAGAGATGAGGCGAAGGATCTGTAGCACAGCTTACGATGAAGCACAATATATTGCCATGCAAGGTTATCGTGTGAATGACTTAATCATGGAACAGAGTACGTATATAATAATATATCTTCACAAAACCTTATGCCAAATGATTTTTTTTCCGACTATTCTAATACTATAGTTGGCCGTTATAGCCTTACCGGACGGTAGGGGGTGAATGTATATAGCACTTCAAACCCGCGGAAGGATTTAGAGCGGATGAAGGCCAACTGCCGCCTAACGGATACGACTTTAGTCTGAGGGCATAGGGGTTTGAACCGAGGTTCAAACCTCGCCTCTGACTATACCATTTGAGACGAGTCTCTGGCCGTCTCAAATGGTATAATTAGAGGCATTATTGACTGCCGAGATTGTGTGAACGCAATACTTAATATGCCTAAATTTCGCTGAGTGTACTCGAATACAGCATGTCAGATGGTGAGGTCGGCACCATCTCTATGATTAATTTTTGTTTCTTAACAGTATCTCCATCCAACAGGGAATCCCTGTTCTGTGGGTATTTCTATCAACGTAATTAATATAAGAAATTATATTCAAAATTTCCATAGACTATAACTGATTCGAACTCTTAATTTTTGGTATCTAAACTATGATAGTCAACGACATGATGGTTTTAAGAATCTAGATTATTTATTAATTATACATAGAGAAATTCATCATTAGAATTAGATGGCTATCTCAAACGAGAGAAAGGGGACATCTGATAACACTCATCATATTTACTTCTTTAATTTTGTTTCAGTTGCCTTATGTGGATTGGATGGTCATGCAAAATTTCTTCGTAGTTCGTGGATATCGAATCTTCTTTACTTTCAATCTCCATACGGTTGTTTTGGTATGAAAAAATATGGATCAATGCAAATACACTCCGATTATCAATTTTTCCCTGATGAATTAATCGACAAAAGAACAAAAACATGGAAGTTGGACAAGCATTTGCAACACGACATTATTGGACGTTTATGCAATGGTCACGTGACCGCAGCAGCAGCCGCAACTTTATCAGTCGCCATCAGATACATCTTAGAATATTATTGATTCAATCACTTATTAATTACATGCCAATGATCTAAGACTTCGATATAATTTATGAATGTTCTTATAAAACTAAGCTTAGAGAAAAATTTAAGTATTGTCAAGTATAAATTGTTAAATTAAAAGTTTTGAGAAGAGATGTTTTTTTTTAATAAATATATTTAAAATTGTTATATTTAAGTTATTTGTTTAGTTCTTACTTAAAAGAAGTAGTATATATTTTCCATAAAATAAATTAAATTGTATAAATGTACATGTATTGTAAAAATTGTAAATACTATTCCTGTTTGAATATTCGATAGGGGTTCCAAAATTTATAGCTGAAATGTGTAGATCGTAAAATTATGCGTTTGATTTTTTGTTAGGTACCCCCTTGGTATTAGAATAATTAATATTGTGAGTCGTGTCAATTCCCAGTTTTTTTTTTCTTTTAGTTTAGAACCAGAAAAAATAGTCTCAGGTACACCCAGAGTATCTTTACTAATACCACAGATAAGATAATATTACATATACTACAAAAACATAAAGTAAATGGCACAATAGTATTCTGTTGTATATTAGGTACTTAATCGAACATTAATTAATATATTATTCCTTCCTCATATTTGAGGTCTTTCTATATTGAAAGTGACAAATCTGGTCGGCCTTGCTACACATATAGTTTTATAGAGTGTATACCAATGTCAGCCGGAACGGTGACCGCCATGAATGCCGCATCCGGTACTTCCGTCCGTCCACGCAGGCTAGCCAATATGTAGTTACAGGAAAAAGTAATTAATATTCTGCATTTGTACAGTCACTAACATATAGGTTTGCAAGAGGGCTAAGTATTTTGTATATACGAGTAAAATAAAGGTGACTTGATTTAGCTTTTTAGAAGTAAAATGAAACAAAATAAATTATAGTGCTTTCTAAATATTGTCTATACTAAGTATAATACTTATAATTTTTCTTTATAACTATCCCAGTACAATAGGCTAAGGACAAATTTAATGCTGCCTTATTTTCAGTATGCCAGTAATTACAGTTAGGAAGTAATATTTAGAAATAAGTATATATTGTACTATGTATATAGCTGTAATGTAATGTACATTACAGTATACATTTACCTACAGCTATAAAAATAAATATGCACATGTAAGCATTGATTCCTACACTAAGTTAAGCATGTCATATTATAGCCGGTATAATAAGTATCGTATTGATATATTTCGTTAAAAGGAAGAGAATATAGATAATGGTTCAGTTAATCGTAGGATTTTATTAAATTAAAAAAGAAATGAAATGAAATTTTTATGTGTAGCTCTAATATCTTTATTATGTCTTAGTTTCTTATGCTATACTTTGTGTTTCACTAAAAGTATCTTTTATACATATATAGATCTCCATCGTTCTATGCGAAAGTATTTTTAGGAAGTATTTTTTTACGGAATGGCAAATAAACTAATGTCCCATTTGATTGTAAGTAGTATAACACTACAACCTGACGTATGGTACATAAAGCAATCTACTTGGCAGATGAAATGCCCCTTCGATTGATCCCCTGTCTAATTCAAACAAAGATCGAAATTACGATGGCCTGAGTCGAGGTTCAAACCGCTAGCCTGAGTTTCGAAGCCCTGATGGCACACCTCGGACTAAAGTCGTATCCGTCAGGCGGGAATTGGCCTTCAGCCACTCCATAAGTCCATCTGCGGATTTGGAGTGTCATCTGCACTCGCCTCTTATTGTCTGGTGAAGCTGTAAAGGCCGTCTGCGGTCAACAACATTAGAGTAGACCGAAATAAAACAGATGAACTGGTAGAAGTACCCACGCAGATGACTTTACAAAGTCTATCTCTGTGGTAAAAATATTCATATTGTTGCATGCTCAATAAGTTTGAACAGTGAGAAAATGTGTAAAATTCCACATACCCTTCCATTTACTATCGGATGATCGAAATCTCATCACGTGACGTGTTATTCGGTGATTAACAATGTTATCACGCGTCTCTACACTTTGTATGTGTGAACGTTGTTCGTTTAAGTTCAATAACATTCATTTATTAAATTAACAAAAAAGCAGGCAGCTATTCTCAAATCAAATATACTGTTGCTATACAACAATAACACATTTAAAGACATAGTTTTGTATATATGCATAAAACATTTTTAAAAATTCAACAAATTTCGCTGTATATTTTGTTATTGTCATCAATTAAAAAAAAGATACTTATTTAATACCAATGTATAATTGTCGTAAGGCCGTCGTCAATTGATGAATAAATTTTATTTAGTGCTTTCCATTAAAAAAATATATTATATTAATTTAACACTGTTATTAAAACAATTAACACTATTACAAAAATATAAATTTAGTTTCTTTTTAAATATAGAGTTATGATGAATCACCATGAATCAACGACGTGACAAAGTTATTATTGTTATGAACGTTGATTAAGTTACTTAAAAATTACTATAATTATAGTCTACATACAATATTACATATGAATGTGGATAAGGGCAGATAAAGGCTGAAAAAAAGATGAATGCCCTGTGTTAAAGATGATATGCTAAGAAAGGGAAGTAAATAACGAGATGACTGCGAACAGGAATGAATGAAAGATATAAATGTACTACGCCGTCTCAAATAAATGCGATAAGGAAAGAGCAGATCAAGAGGACAATTTATATAATATGAGTTGACACTGCCCTTATGACAATTGAATATATGTAACAACTTGCAATACTTCTACAAAAGATTATTTCAGAGGCGGGTTTGCAAGCCCACCTCTGAAATAAAAGAATTATTGTATGAAAACATTTCTTTTGTAGAAGTATTGCAAGTTACATATATTCAATTGTCTGCAGACAAACCCTTTAAAGTGAATTTATATATAAGTACTTTTTGTTACACCGATTCATACGAAAAATAATTAGTCATAGTGAAGCCTGTGTTTTGTTTAATTACATAACATTCTCTTTATTATTTTAAATTCTTCAACATGTGTTTTAAAAATACCTAACATTATATAATAAGTAGTGTATTGAACACGTGACAAATAGATATAAAGATGACATATTCATTTCTATTTATATATTACTACAACTGCTAGTTGAACTGATTACTTCGTAACTATGGTATACGGAATTACAGGAGAATTCCTATCGGTTTACCACTAAAAAGGTATCCACTTTTTGGTGGTAAACCGATAGGAATTCTAAATTTTAATAAATTTTGTAGGAATTTCAGATCAGATCAGAAATAATTTTTAAGTGAAACTATCTCAAAATATAAGTGAATACAAGTATTGTATTCAAATCAGGTGAGCCGATTTGAGAGTCAATTGTTTTTCTTCATTTGTCAGATGCATTACTTTTTTTTTTTACGTATATTTTGGAAAGACTATTTATTCCGCACCCATGCACAATGTTAGTTTCTATATCTGTGTGTTTGTGTTTATAATTGTGATCTATTTTTAATGTATTTAAAATTGATAATGAATAATAGACTTTTTTTCGGTCAACCAAGTCTGTAATTTTAATTACTTTAAAAATAGATCACAGTTAGAAACACAAACACACAGATATAAAAATTCGAACGTAATCCCCAATAATAATAGTTTTTCATTCATTATCTTCCATATACAGACAGCAATCAGTTACATTTCTACTATTATAACTATATGTAGATGTAAATAAGTAAATCAGCAATTGCTAAGTTACGCAATTACAACTTATGTAATGCAGTTAATATGGTATTCTAAACGTAAGTACGTTATGTTCTTCCTAACTACTTGTGATTCTATATAGCCAGCAGCCAGCTTGTTGACTTTGACATCGTTTCTTGTTTATGTGTTTCTAGAATTTATTTATATCAATCCTATGCAAAAAAACTGCTTATATAAATTAAACAGTTTTTTTTCATAGTAGTGCAGGATCATATTAATAAAGGATAATAAATGTAGCCACATATTCATTAAGAATTATTACTGTTACTAAAGAAAACTGGTAGTTCTTAATGAAATTTTATGAACAATAAGTCCAAAAACTAAAACAATAATTCATAAAAGAATAATTCTCGCTATCACTACCCCACAATGATTTTTTTAATATACACCTTAAGGTTAGCTGGGAGAGATTTCCATAAGGCACGCTTGCCTTTTGTAGTAATTATTGTTCAATAAATAATAAAAATGTATGAAAAGGGTTGGAAAAGTTGTGCCTGGCATAATATGAATATAACTGATATATTTATAAATTATTTACTATATATGTGTATATCTAGTGCAAATGGTAAATGTTTATTAACTATTGACCGACCCCTACTTTGCACAAGTATTTCAAATAATTTATATATAGCCTATAGAAATTGTACACCTAAACTTCCCATAGAACTAATTGATAAAAAATTGATCAATTTAGATCTATTTGCTATAACCTGATTAAAAATCCATTTAGTAGTTTTCAGAATATCGTGAACATATGTACAGATATGTACAGACAAATATACCTAGCGGAGGGACATTGTTTTTAACCCCAGACATTATAAGTATAATGTATCTGGTATTGTCTTATAGAACTGCTTATGATAGGTTTTTTGTTTAAAAACTGACGGGATTGAATTGGTTCTTAAATTTAATTTATTAAACACTAATCGTTTAATTAAAAAATTACCTAAAAGTTTTAATTTTTTATTTATATAATATGTATAGATATTTATTCTTTCATGTTCGTATGTACAACTAACATAACATGTCGCTCATACATAATGTCGCGCCAAATCATAAATCAATATCCATCAATTCCCGAATAGTCACCTGCCTATAACTGGCCTAATTTGTTGGTCAAATTAAAATTCGAGCCGAGTTCCTACGGGACCATCCAACACCAGCCATTCTTCTTTAGATGCCATGCACGGTCCCGTTACGCGTGCATCATGTTCTTGCATTCTAATTTACTTTACTGTAAATGACCCTACGTTCCAAATTTCGGCATGTCAGAACTAGTTGATTTCAAGTACT